AAAAAAAGTTTTCCAACTAGAGTACAGTGCTATATAAACTTTCTTTTGCCCTTAGTCTTATAGATTTCACTCATCTGCAAAGTTATCTATGTCAGCACCATCTAACTCTACTCTTCAGTGAAGTTGTTTCATCATTTTGTAATACAGTTAGATTATTTTGTCACATTCTGCATTGTCAAGGCCTCTGAAATAATTTTTTTAATTTGCCTATATTAAGGATCACTCTGTGCTATAAAGTTGTGTGGGTTTAGATAAATGCATAATGTCATTTATCTCCCTTGACAAAATTGTTTCACTGCCTTAAAAAGATGCCCCTGTGCTTCAGTTATTCAAGCCTTCCCATCCTACCCCAAATTTTTGGCAACGATTGATCTGTTTATTGCCTTGCCTTGCCTTGCCAAAAATGTCTACAAATGGAAACACAGCCCTTTTCACTCCTGGCTTCTTTCACTTAGCAATATGCATTTAACATTCAGCACTATCTTTGTGTCTTGATAGCTCATTTATTTGTATGACTAAACAATATTAGTACCACCATTTGTTTATCAATTCACCTATTCAAGTACATATTAGTTACTTCCAATTTTTGGAAATTATGGATAAATTTGCAATAAATATATGTGCAACTTAACATGTGTGTTGACCTAAGTTTTCAACTGTGCTTGGTAAATATTTAGGAGCATTATTGCTGGACTGTATGATATTCAAGCCTTGAGTTGTATATTGAAGGATTCTATGGGCAAAATATTGAAAGACACAGGAAGCATCAAAAGAAGATGGAAGGAATACACAGAGTCCCTGTACCACAAATAATTGGTTGATGCTCAAATATTTCAGGAAGTAACATATGAAGAAAGAAGAAAGAAGGCCAAGCTGCACTGAAGGAATTGGTGAAAAACAAGGCTCCAGAAATTGATGGAATATCCATCAAGATATTTCAACAATCAGGTCCAGCACTGGCAGTGCTTACTGGTTTATGCCAAGAAATTTGGAAGACAGGCACCTGGCCAACTGACTGGAAGAGATGGGTATTTGTGCCCATTCCAAAGAAAGGTGATCCAAAAGAATACAGAAGTTACCAAACAATATCAATATCACACGCAAGTAAAATTTTGCTGAAGATAATTCAAAAATGACAGCATACTTCCAGAAATTCAAGTTGGATTCAGAAGCGGATATGGAATGAGGGATAACATTGATGACGCCAGATGGATCTTGGCTAAAAGCAAAGAATAGCAAGAAGATGTTTACCTGTGTTTTATTGACTATGCAAAAGCATTTGATTGTGTGGCTCATAATAAATTATAGATAACATTGCAAAAAATGGTAATTCTAGAACATTTAATTGTGCTCATGAGGAATTTGTACATGGACTAGGAGGGTGTCGTTTGAAAATAACAAGAGGATACAGCATAGTTTAAAATCAGGAAGGGTGTGTGCTAGGGTTGTATCTTTTCACCATATTTATTCAATCTGTTTGCTGAACAAATAATCAGAGAAGCTGGATTATTTGAAGAAGAAAGTAGCATCAGGACTGGAGGAAAACTCATTAACAATCTGCAATATGCAGATGACACAACCTTGCTTGCTGGAAGTGAAGACAACTTGAAGCACTTACTAATGAAGATCAAAGACAACAGTCTTTGGTATGGATTATACCTCAACATAAAGAAAACAAAAATCCTCACAACTGGACCAATAAGAAACATCACAATCAATGGAGAAAAGATTGAAGTTGTCAAAGATTTCAGTTTGCTTGGATCCACATCAACATCCAGGGAAACGCAGCCAAGCAATCAGAAGATGTATTGCACTGGGCAAATCTACTGCAGAAGACCTCTTTAAAGCATTAAGGAATAAAGATGTCACTTTGAACACTAAGGTGTGCCTGACCCAAGCCACAGTATTTTCAATTACCTCATATGCATGTGAAAAGCTGAACAATTAATAAGGCTGATGGAAGAAGCCTTTGGATTGTGGTGATGGTAAAGAATACTGAAAATACCATGGACTCCAGAAGTACAAACAAATCTGTCTTGAAGAAGTGCAACCAGAATGCTCCTTGGAAGCAAGAATTGCCAGACTTCATCTCACCTACATTGGTCATGTCATGTCACCTTCCAGGAGATAATTTAATACTCTGTGAAACTTTCACAAACAAATCATTCCATGTCATACTTTAAATGATTTTTACATCATAAGATTTCTTCTCTTGCAATCTGATGCTACCAGAAACTGAACAAGTATGTGTTATGTATATGAATTCATATAGAAAGAATGAAACTAGTGACATTTTTATATAGTTACAATTTCATTATGAAAGATTACAGCTTCTATGCCAAGCTTTTTGGGTTTTGTTTTTTAAGTAAAAAAATGCAATGTTTGCCAAATGCAGAGGAAGATATTTCATTTTTAGTCTCTTAAGAGAGTATGAAAAATATTCCATAAAACTACTTCTAAGGGTATTTGAAAGCCTCTATTAATACGACACCAGTTTCTAATCTAGAAATAATTGGAGAGAAAGAAATGAGGATACATTAGATTTCAAAGGGGTAAAAGTACATGCCAGTGACTACTGGTTTCTGCACCAGTTTTCCTGGATACTACAGTCAAGAAGACTGAAGTCAGAATGTTTGAATTTTGCCAGGTACTCTCTTAGTGACAAAATTATTCTTTTTATAATTCAGAATCATCTACCTGAGAAATTTTCTAACTACATCAACCAAAAATAAAGGGTGAAAAAGTAACTTGAAAATTTCCACTAATCAATTCAATTAACCAATCAATTCTTCTCTTAGAGAACCTCACCCAAATTATCCCACAAATTGTTATACTTTCTGTTTCTAAAGTTTGCCATGGTAAAAAGTGTTGAAACTTCCTTTGTATTGACTCTAAATTAACAAAACTCTATGAAATTTCTTCTTCCTATCTTAATTCTCCCTATTATATTTAAATTATTATTGTTGTTGTCAAGTCAATTTCTACTCATAGCAACCCTACGGAACACTATCAGTAAAACTGCCCCATGGGTTTCCATGGCTGTAATCTTTTTCAGAAGCAAACTGTCACATCTTTCTTCCATGGAGTGGCTGGAGGGTTAGAACTGCTGACCTTTCGGTTAGCTGCCAAGAATTTAACCACTGCCACACCAGGGTTCCTTACACTTAAATTAACTGACCACTATTCCATCTTTTAGGAGCTCAGGTAGCGTAGTGCCTAAGGCACTTGACTGCTAACCAGAAGGCTGGCGGTTCTAACCCACCAGCCACTCCTCGGAAGGAAGGTTGGGCAATCTACTTCCGTAGTGATACTGCCTCGGAAACCCAAGGAGGCATCACTATGAGTCAGGGCCGACTCGATGGCACATAACAACATTCCATCTTCATGGTTTTTGGTTTATTCTATCTTTGGATCTATGCTATTTCTATTCAAACAATGTGATTGAATAAAATGGACTTGGGTGAATACCAATATGAATATGAAGCAAATAAAGGGCTACAAAGTAAAATTATGTTCTTCAGTTCAACCAATGCCTTTTGTTAAAATAAACTGATGATGATGATGATGTCTTTACATGACAGCCCTATTCTTAAGAGCAGTAATGCCATTGAAAATTACCTTTTGTTGAATCATCTTCTATTGGCTGTTTGAACAACGTAATATCCTTGAAAGTGCACAGGAACAAGACCACCTTTTCATGTTCATTTCTTATTGGTGCAATTTGCATATAAAACCAAACAGGGGTTCCTGTAACAGAGAGAAAAAGAGAGGAAGAAAAAGGACAATATAATGTGATATGACCTCAGAAATAGCTTGACCTCCTGTTTCTTCTTTCAGTGGCAAACTCCTATGCCAGATAATTAGTACCAAAACAACAGTATTTTAATTGCTGCAAAGAATTTCTTTTAATCTTTAATTTTGTATCAACTATTGGTTGTTCAAAAATTAATAAACATTGTTGTCATCCCAAAATATCAAAATTCTACTGGGTTATTTCAGCATTATACTCAGAATCTGCTATAGTACTTGGCCAAGTAATCATTAATAATTATTGAATAAAATGATGATTAATTTGTTATAATTATTCAATTGAAATTATATTTCTTCTTAAAAATATTACACCTCAACCAAAATTAAGTACAGTCTGGTTTTCCCTGGAGGCCCTACTGTTTTCACCCCTTACACCTTGACTTATTTTGACTTTCTGTCATCCTTGACTTCTTTTGACTTCCAGGCTATGCTAGATTTCATTTAGCAAGTTTGAAAGTAGGCATAGGTGGAAAAAAAAAAAAACATTGTCTTGTTAAGTAAACAGAGATTCATTCCCAGCATGAGGCATTTAAACAAAATACTAAGGGTAGGGTGAGGAGATTACCAAGGGAATTGTGAGTTTAGCCTAATAGCTCAACATAAACTGATAAAAATACATGTTAGAAATGATAGACATAGTTGGTGGGGTGTTGGCAAAAGGTTTCATTTCTCAGACTTATGAAGAGTAGCAATTTCTGAATGAATTATTGGCATAAAAGAAATGCAAGAAAGCTGACTGGTTTCCACATTGTTGATGGCGTTAGGGAGAAAGATGAAAACTATAAAGAGTCATAAGTACATTTCAGTGGCTCAGATGGAAAATGACTGAGGACAGGCCAAAGAGTTTGAATATTAAGAAGAAAGATTATCATGGTGGAACAGGAACAATGAAGTTTGGAAACACTTTCCTGTTTAAATGAAGAGAAAACAGCAGCCCAGATATCTGGTTTAGGACACAGGAAAGTCAGAAGTAGACCTGTCAGGAGAAGCGTAAATGTTGTCTCTCATCACATCTGACCTGTGTACGTAGGAAGGCATTGAATGTAGGAATATAAGATGGTTTTGAACCAACAACATGACAGAAAGTTGTTAGCACGAGAGGTTGGCACAACCTTGAGGAGATGGCAATGCTAAAGTGTGACAGAAATAGCAATTTGAGATCTTATGTCAACACCAAAGAGATCACATAACAAAAAGGACTCCATTTAAGGTACATATTGTAACTCTTGCCACTTACCATATTCAATAATGACTGACTATGTTCTTCAGTTTGAGAAATAAATAACTAAGAGAATAGGTTTAGGAATCAGAAAGATCTGGGTTCTAATCCTGACTCGGTTATTTATTAATGACCTGACATGGGGCAAGTTACTTTACCTTTCTTAGCTTCAGTTTTCTCATTTGCATAATGAGGATAATAATAGTACCATATCTCACATGGCCATTATAAGGATTCATTAAGGTGAATTAGCATAAAAATCAGCTTATTGGAACATTCACAAACTTGTAGCTATGAACATTATTTTTATTGTTGTCTTAATAGCCCTGTTACAGAAGGATGCTGCTAGTATCATTAAAGATGCAGGAGCCCAAAGGCAGTCTTGCTACTTAAGTAACTCC